AAATTGGCTAAAGTAAATCATTCAAAACTAGTAAATCTGATAAATTTGATTTCTAGGGTTGCAGGCACCAAAGTATGGTCTACTGAGCCTAAAAGATCAGCTGTACTCAAAGTTTTGCACACCCTTAATAGTGTGTAAAGGAGGCTGCAGAGATTTCCACCCGATTCAATGAATTGATTGGTTCAATGAAATGCGGCTCTAAGATGGACTAGGTCACATACGATTATAAATAGCATAAATGCTTAGTGATCGGTGAAGAGGCCATACTATTTTATAAGAAATGTGCAGTAGGCACTGGCGCCTCGAAAAAGTGAGGCGGCTTGGCCAACTATTGCTCTCTTCCTGCCTTACACACATGGCCTATGTGGTTGCACTAAATTGTCAAATACAGGCTAGTGGAGGGCAAATCACCACAATACACGTGGTATATAATGTGTAGTCTTCTTGATGTTATAAGGGGGCATTGTAATTTTAACTTTTAATCCTTTTCCCTAAAGAGGGATAGGAAAAACACCAATTGTTGATAAACTGTGTAGGGTCTTTCGTTTCTATTTATGGCCCATCATGGGTGAGACATTTGAAGGATCCGTTAGCCTTTCAAACAACTGATATAAAAAGGGAAGCATGAGGGGTATTTAAAGAGACTTGCACTCTTTTCTATTAGCCCTCCAGTGTGTGAGACGATATTGGCTACTACAACTTGTGACAGACTACACCGTTACCTGCAACCTCCCAAAGGACCGTACCCATGCGTCCTTCCTTTAAGTATAAGGTTGTTGCATGTTTACCTGTACGACGTCTTTGTCGATATTAAGTGATTTATGTACTCGACAGAAGAGGTCAAAAATTCTGTCGGCCTTGAGTTATGCAAGTGAATACCTTGCGATGGCCATTGACTTTGTTGAGTGCATTAAATGATATTGTTTCTTAACTTCCAAATCTTATATGATTTTGAGATCTGAACAATTTTATTGATATTCCGGTATGGAAATGCCTCCCAAATTCATTTCAGTTTTCTATCCCATGGACGCTGATTAATAATTACAAATTTGGTTCCATTAACCTCTGCTTACAATGACATAATACTCCCTTCATTGCTCCACTCACTATTTGCCGTACAATTATAAAGCACACACTACTTTACTTTCACCAGTCAATGCGTACTTGGTGTGTGATGGACTGCAGTTAGTATCCTCCCCTCGGTAATACGCATTCACTGATGGGATATATTTTTCTACCCAATACCATTCTAACCTGAAAATTTGTATAGGCAGCATTCTTTCGGTTTTGTTTTCTTCCACTTCCCTTACATGTTAACAGTTGAGACTAGTGAAGCAATTATTTGAATGCACATTTTCTATTGGAAGGCAATTCTACAAAAACCGTGTCCCTATGATCCACCGGCAAAAATTAATTGACAATTAAAGTCAAATTCTGACAAATTTTAGGAGCATCATTTTGACCTCAAGGGGTGATTTAATTCTACTTTGAATCATCAGAGGTCACAAAATGCCGCATGGCATATGCGGCCTGCTCCAGCACCCGACTAAATCATCATTTACACAAATTGTAACAATACAATACATTTGAGTGTGCAGTTTGCCACGAAATAAATCGGGTCACTTACATCCAAACTGAATTAGAAAGCACCGCCGTAGATACCTCCACGTCTGGACATTCACCTCACCACCACTGCAATAGTCGAGGTGATGTTTCTATGCCTCTATATAATGCAACTTTTTTTTTCATGAGGTTCGTGAATCCTCTTTTGCGAGGGCACATTCCTAAATATCGCTTGCGGCATTTACCAACCTTTGCAGTTTTTTTCAAATTTGTCTGCCTAAGCATCTGTGAACGTAATCTTTTATTGCTCTGATTTGCTGGAAGGCATCATTTGTTAGGGCATTCGGTTTTAATTCCATATCGTATATAATTGTCATGCCTTTCATAAATTTGTCAAATTATTTGTCAATGGAGAATCTTTTTTTTGCAAATAAGTAGATTCAAACACTAAAAGCTTTGCCTGGATTTGTTGGTGATTCCTATCATCTGTCTTGGAACGCTTGATCCAAATTAATATGTAGAGTTCGGTTTTTTAGGAAAGTTCTTGCTAAATTTCTCCAACACGAGAAACAGCTTTCCTGTAAAATCCGTCATGCGCTAAATGTACTTTATAGGTACTGTGACTTTTTGTCAAACCAACCTTTTTAGCGGCTAAATGATTGCAGTGATGTATCGTCGCTGCATAAAAATGGTGCTGGTGACTTTGTTGAATAAACTTTGCCTTCATCGTTTTCGTAAGTGTTGGTGCAGCTTCATCTAACGTGGCGTCGAACTACAGGGAGCCAAAAATCGGTGTTGTCCATCTTATTGGCCGGCCATTGTCCTCTGTGAAGATAGACAGCGACCTTCTTTGCAATGAGTACATGGCATTCGACACGGGTCAAATCAAGCAGCTACATCTTGCTTGGATCAACCTGCGGTTTACTTTCCAACGATTGCAATGAACGTAAGCAAGATTTTATTTTTCAGTGTTAACATTAGTAAACACCACCAATAATAAATTTGCCACAATCATTCAATGTTGTCTTTGCATTTATTGGTAGCGAATTCCACCTTGTCCAGGGGTGTTTTACGCGCAATTTGTGACATGTATAAGCATTCCGATAAACTATTCCTCTGGGTCTGTACAATGACAGAACTGTAGTTTCCTACAATTGCGTTGATGTAATGACAAGTGCACTTGTCTGGTCTATTGGGCACTAAACGAAGCTCGTGTGCCTTCCATCTGTTGGAACTTTAGGAGCTTGTATAATGCACCCAAGTGCCCCTTCAGTGAGCCACTCGCTACTGTGCTTAGCGCTGCTCCCAAATCTTGAGGTTTTCCGAAAGAGCATTTATGCCAGTGGTTCAAGATTCTTTGTTTGGCAAAGCGGATCTGACTGCCATGAATTCTGCACCGCTGCTTTCCTAAATCGTACGTCGATTAATCGACTTGAGCAGATGGTTGGCTTTTTACTTAACCAATAGTAAATGTTCGGCAGTTAGACAAAGGTAAGAATAGGAAGACATTCAGGAATAATTATGCATTTATAATCTATTTAGTTTTTCTTCAATGCAATGCACATGCACGAAAAATTCATTTTGACAATACTGACGAATTTTTTCACATTAAGGATAGAAGGAACATGTGCATAATGTGTATGAGTAGCCATATAAGACGTGAAATATGAGCTTTTAAGCATCTTGGTCGGAAAAGGGTTAAAAAGGAGAATTTAAAACAAACACGTCTGCAAGGGATGACAGAAATTTGCATTGGATCGGGAAGGATTTGATAGATTGGACACAAATTTAAAAGAATTTGCTGCGATAAAAAGTATGTAGGATCTAGATTGGCTAAAAATATTAAGGCAAATAATAGCTGAAAAGTGTTTGTCAAAAAAA